TTTAACAATTACTTTTCTGTCTTAAAATAATATTCATCATTTCTACAAGCGACATGGAGAGAGAGAGAGAGAGAGAGAGAGAGAGAGAGAGAGAGAGAGAGAGAGAGAGAGAGAGAGAGAGAGAGAGAGAGAGAGAGAGAGAGAGAGAGAGAGAGAGAGAGAGAGAGAGAATTACAAATGGAAGCAGCGTTTCTGAGGTAAAATCATTGGTCACTTTACATAGAGGAAGGTATTTATAAATCAACTTTTCGTAATATCAGATTGTTTTGATCTACCACAGTAACATCAGAAATCCGTCATGAAAGTTTAATTTCTTTCTTTCGCATGTATACTAATTAGTATTCTTTATTGTCCAGGAGTTCCGCGCTAAGCCCCACCGCCGTTCCAGTCACTTTTAGACAGCTTAACCCATTTTTCCATTTCTTTTTATCATCATTATCTTATTATTATTATTATTATTATCATCATCATTATCATCTATTATTATTTTTATTATTTTATTATTATCATTATTTTATTATTATTATTTCATTTTTATAATTATCATTATCATTATTATTATTTTCATTATTATTGTTTATAATTATTATTATTATCATTATCATCACCATCATCATTATTATCATAACAGTTAAATAAAATCATTATCATTGTTATTCGTGTTTTAATCATAATGATTTTCATCATTGCTTTTATAGCTTTTATTCGAACACTTCATTACTACTTTTGTAATTATTATCATTATCATTATTATTTACAACTGCTTACGAGAGCACTAGTAATGTTACTCTGGTAATAAAAGTGATCCGTTACTGTCCCTCCAGTAATACTCTTACAATTATCATTTTCATAATAATTTCGATATCATTTCTGTAACTATTTTTTCAGTTAGAAATAACATCATCAATACGTCCCATCAACATGAGCCGGTGGTGGTATTGCAATTCAGTTCAGAGTTTCAAAAGGAGCTTGTCAGTCAATTAAAAATAGCCTTAACTGTTTTTCTTTCAAGATTTCTTTTTAACAATATCAAATAATCACATTTTAGTATTTCCGACTTTGTTTGCACGATATTTTCACATTACATAAAAGGTCTAATTACAAACGATTGCGCATTAAAATCTGCTCTAAAATGTTTAAAAGTAAGTGACCCTCAGTCACAAACCACACAGTAACGAATCCTTATACAGTATAACAGAATTATAAGCCGTAAATAGTACAAGCAGTGCCAGTCACTGATACGCATTCGTCAGAAATCTTTATATATATATATATATATATATATATATATATATATATATATATATATATATATATATATATATATATATATATACTATATATCAAAGTAACACAAATATAATCTGAAAGAGTATTTGCCAATATGAGTCAGTGACCGTATCATCAGGCGTATCAAAGGAAACACCAAAAACAAAAAGATTCAAATTGAATCGCATCTTCTTTGGCGTACAAAGGTGCGCGGGAAGTTACTGTTGAGGGGCCGGATTCTCAAGAGCCTTAACTGAGGAGAGGCGAGATGGTCCCCTTGAGTTAAGGCGCGCTGGAGGCCTTAACCGTCCTCATGTATTTCCCTTGTATCAGAGCGAAGAGTTGATTTCCCGGCCGCCGCAAAGCGCTAAAGGCTGCTCCCCCGCTCTCTCCTCAGACGCCTTCAATCGCACCAATATGGCGGGTCCCTTGCTCTGTGTATGGGCCGTAAGATCGCTCGGCCGTAAGTTAAGGCGCCTTAAGGAGATACGGCGCCTTAACGCGTTTGAGAATCTGGCCCCTGGTGGCTGACGCGCTGTACCAGGCTCCTGCTGAAACAGATCGTCAAGGTCACCAAAAAACACCGGATAGCTGTAAATTATGAAGGTTTCTCTAATGCTTTTGATTCGAACTGAATGGTTTGAGTCGTGAAATGTTAACGAGTGGAAAGGTGGGTTCCTGATTCCGTTTTCTCTGACATTGTTATTCTCTCTCTCTCTCTCTCTCTCTCTCTCTCTCTCTCTCTCTCTCTCTCTCTCTCTCTCTCTCTCTCTCTCTCTCTCTATCTCTCTCTCCTCCCTCTTTCTCTCTCTCTATCTCTCTCTCTCCTCTTCGTTTGCTTACAGATTTGGTTGACCTTATAAAATAATATATATTAAAGTAACTTTATAAGTATAAGATCAATTATATCAATGATTACGTGCATGTTCATATATTGATAGTAGCAACAGTAATCATTATTTTATGTAATGGTGTAAAAAATAAAAAAATGTATACAGTAATGATATAATGAGAACGGTTATGATAATTTATGAGGATTTTAAGTGCGATAATTTTGAAAACAACGATAAAACAAGAATTACATTCGAGCAGAATGAAGATAATGATAAAGACGATGGTGAGAGCAATATCACAACATAATATTCATGCAGTGAATAAAATGATAATCACCTAAAATAAATAATACTGGAAATTATTAGTTATAAAGAAGGGCAACATCTATAATTACGATATCAATAACAAAAGAACTAATCATGCTGCTGTTGATAATTGTTATGATATTAATGATGATAAGGATAACAACGATAATGATAATGATGATGATAACAGAAAATATACAACAATAATTATTGAAAATTAAGATCGTAATAAAGAAGAAGACACTGTCAATACATTATCATTCGCAAAAAAAAAAAAAAAAAAAAAAAAAATGTTTGCTGATAATGAACATGTCAGATACATGTTCATTATTCACGTTCAATGCTCGCACTAAGGAAACCTATAATACATACTCGTACACGCGCATTTCAAACAGCTGCACAACAGGTTTTGAAGTGACTTTGAACACCGAAATGGCTAATGCCTATTGTATCAGTTTTAAAAAGATCATGTTTTGTAATATTGTGAACGTGAGAAGTCAATCCAGCAAAGGGTTTGATCAAACAGTTGTCAAGATTAATCAAAACACGTATCATTTTATGACATGGTGATGAGCAAATTGAAGAGAATGGTTTGACAGATTCGGAAGAAATGAAATGTTTTGAATGTTACATTGAGGCAATACATCACAGAATATATGCAAGGAAATTCGCAAATGATAATGAATCAAAATACGCATATCATGTGTTATTTTAATCCTTTTCATCCTGATCACTTCCTTATTGTTACCATTACTACTATTATTATCATTATCTTTGTTATTGTTATTATCTTCATTATTATTATCTCGATTACTATAATCATTAGTACTATCATCGGTATTAGTATCATTGATACTATTATTGTTATTATTATCCTTATTATTATTATCATCCATTACTAACCTTATTTATACTGCTATTATCATCCCCATCAAAATCATTTTTACTATCAAACAAAAAAAATATATATACATAAAACAAAAAAATAACAAACCCTAGAAATGAAACGCACATTTCCAGGTGTTAAATGTCCAAAATGAGGCAACACCTGGCGTGCGAATCGAAGAGGAGATGATAATGATTTCGCAGAGGCTGGGTCGTGAGCTGAATCAAGAATTTCTTTCACCGACAAAGGAAGAACAAGATCGTGTAAACAGATGAATAAAGAAATGGATATATATATATATATATATATATATATATATATATATATATATATATATATATATATATATATATATATATATATATATATATATATATATATAATATATATATATATATATATATATATATATATATATATATATAAAGAAAGAAAATAATAGGAATTACAAGAAATAAGAATAAGAAATCGCAATAATAATAATAATAATAATGATAATGATAAGAATATTAAGCAATAAATATTTTTCCCCATTTATAACTGATATATTGAGGTGAGAGGTACATAGAAAGGAAGAAACAATAGACTGAGTTACAAACAGGCGGAGGGATATAATAGATGGCAGAAAAAAGAAAAGAAAAAAACAAACAAACTAAAGCGGTTACACGATGGAAAGAGATTGAAATGAGAGAGAAAAAGGAAGAGAGACAGAATTTTCAAATAATTATATGAACGGTTTAGGAAGTATAAAAGCAAAGGTTTCCTGTACGGTGAAGGTTGCTTAATCGATGAGAAGCAGAAATAAGAAAAGCAGAAAGAGAGAAAGAGAGAGGGAGAAGAGAGAGAGCCTGAGACAGAAAGACAGATAGAGAGAAGAGACAGACATAGAGAGAAAGAGAAGAGAGAGACAGGCAGAAATACAGACAGAGAATAGCGAGAGAAGAGAGAGAGATAGACAGACAGATAGACAGATAGAATGTAGAGAGAGAAGAGAGAGAGAGACAGACAAAAAGACATAGGAGGGCGAGAGGGCACGGAGGGCAAGGAAGGCGTGGCACGGTGTCGTATGCTGAAACACGGAGGGCGCGGTCGTGCCCGATAGCCAAGTGAGGTTTACGGCGCAGAATGACACTGTTTTCAGACGCCGCTGGGAAAAGGAAAAGGAAAACGTGCCAGTCATGGATTTTGCCCTTTAGACCAGGCTTACTTCAGGATGATAAGCCTTGAAAAAAGAATACTGGACTTTGCTGTGATATCATCTCTTTTCTCCCTAGTTATTTTGCTCTTAATAGAGAAAATAAGCTGGATTTTGCAAGGAAATTATCTTTCTCTTCGCAGATTATGAAGATCGGAAGAAGAAAACGTATATCCGTGTTAATCTTTCACTGAATGTCTATCAAGAATCAGTATTGAAGAAATGTTATCTACACTACTCAAACTGTTTGAATGATTTTATCTAATATCCTTAGATTGATTATTC